AAACAAATTATTACATAAGGGTAATTTAATATAGCAGCAACGGGGCATAACTTTTTTTTAACTATGAGCATATGGTGGATTTTTAGTTTTATGTAGCCAAAGGGCCTTATAGATGAGTCCATACATTTATAATTAATGTGAGTAGATTAGTATTTCACATACAGGGTGAATCCTCAAAGTTCATTTAGCTTACATAGGCAACACTTACCATACCACCATTAGTTTTGCCACAGGTAGTTCTCAAAACTAAAACACTAAGACAAAAATCTCAAGGGGGCATTACTATTTAACAATGGAACATTTTTGTTGAAACTTAAAAATGTGGTCTTCAGACTTCTGTTTTAGATGTCTTTGATGATTTAATTTAGAACCTTAATTTCCTTCTAGAGATCTATGATTTGTCAGTCTTTGTACTTCCAACAAGCTTACTAATACCTTCTTCTTTCCTAGTTTGCAATGAATCCATTTTATGAACCCAATTCTCCTATTCGATCAAGCGCATTTGACAGAAAAGTTCAGTTTCTTGGGAAGAAACACCTTTTAAGTTGAATGTGGAAAAATTTGGAAATAAACAATGTCACTACAATGGGGTATTCTCAGGAATGTGTATGTTGTAAGTAATTTGACGAAATAGCCTGGAAAAGTTTTGCTTGTAGTCTAAATTTATCTAAACCTAATGAAATTCCTTATTATTTCAAAACAGTACATTGAGTTTCTTACGATTATCAACAGATCAGTATTTGCTTGTGAACAGTGTTATTTATAAACTCTCTATAACCTTGAAAATATCTTTCTTCTAAAAATTAAGAATGAGCTTTTGACTTTACTCATATTCAGACAGCTTGATCTTGATGTCACAATTCAGAAACAAATGTTATGGTCAAGATTTTGGGAGACACTTTGGGAGACACATTGAAAACTGGAAGTTTCTGCAGTAGGGAATGAAGTTGATAGCATGTACATGGGCTTCTATACATCTGTAGGTATTGTTATAAAACCATACGGACAGTATACATAGCACTGCCCAAGAAGCCGGAGCAAACAGCTTTTGCAGTGCCAAATGCCACAGGCCTGCCTCTGTCAAAGTGATTCCGCTATAAAGCCGGAATCCTGGATCCATGTTTGTAAAATGGGAGGCCGGGACCAAAGTGACAGGTTGTGTTCTTGTATTGCCTTTCCCTCTGACAGTAAACTAAAGTAAGTGAACCTGTTGATAGTTATACCAGTAAAAAGTTGTAATTCTGGAATTGTAAACAAAGAAAAGTTTGTATTACATTAGCATTTGCATTCTTAGCTTTTTTAGGCTGTACACCAAGGGGGTGGGGAGTGGCCTGTAACAAGTGGGATCTTACTGTAAACTAGTAAATGTCTGTTTAAAAACAAGTACTAGAACCATATATTTTCTGTGCTAATTGTGAGCACTTAATTTTGTTCTTTCCTGAGTAACTTGAGCAAGTAGTTCTAAGTTTGGTCTCATACCCTTGTGTGAAGTTGCTACCGTAATTTTTTACCCCATCTATTTATTGAATTTCTTAAATAAAGATGTTTGTCCAAGACTGTGGAAGTTTAGTCGCATTTTTAAAGTGTTACGCTCACGCTGCTACCGCTGTTTCAGTCCTATTTCCCCTATTGAGAGTCTACAAACTATTATCTTAACCCATTTGCTAGAACTCAAATCACCTCAAGCTAGGTGCCAGAGCTTTGGGAGCAGAGAGTCCCGCTAGACATCTAGGAGTGGCTTCAGCCACGCTCACTGGAGAGACGCCGGTGTGTTCTTGCCGTAGACCGTTTGCTCTGCTCCCAGTAAGCATACAGTGCAGAGAGCTGTGACGCGGGCTGCCAGGAGCAGCAGGCTGTTTGCAGCAGGACGTTGGAGGGTGCCTTGCAAACCATGATCTTTTCCTCTAGGTTCGTGAGGGTGAGACGGCAACAAGCAACACAAGCCCTATGTGTGTTACTGTAGTTCAGCACCAACTGTGTGTGTGACTGCGTCTCTGAAGGAGCCTGAATCAAGTCCACTGACAAGCATGGGGGTGGATGGGACATCAGACGTGAGCTGCACTGCAAGAGCATGTGGGCCACGAAGGTGTGGAGAAAAGCAGCACCAGGCACGTGGCTAGGACAGAACCAGAGCTGGTGTAAAGGGAAAAACCAGGGGCTGGCAGTTAAGCAAGCTCAAGAGCCGGCAAATCTTAGATCTGGTAGTAGGTGATGTCACGCAAGGTTCAGGAACACAATAGCAACAGGATGACATCATTAGCAACCCTGGGCCTGAGGCCCCACTGAGTGTAGCGTGTCAGCACTAGGTCAGTGCTAATCTACGTTAGCACGCCCAAAGGGACCCAAAGAAAATGCACAGTTCTGATATTGTCCTCTTTCGTTCCCTAGATGCTTGGTGCCCACGTTTTCCATGTATGTAGAGAGAGAGTGGATTTCTGCTCTGCCCGCGCTACACCCGTCTTCTTTCACTTTTCAGTCATGTCAGCCCTTTCTGGTTGCCAGTCCACAGTGGTGGCTTCTCAGAATCCACAGACAGTACGCAGGTCCACTTTTCTACTCCACTGCCCCACAAGCCACTGGTGTCCACGGTGTCATGATACTCAAGGGAAAGCTTACACACATTTTTATAGGAATGTAAAACTCAAGGTTTTCTCTTAAGGGACATCTAGGATGTTTTCACTTCAACTAGGGAATGTTTCACAAGGTGACAAAGACATTACCCCACTGATGGAACTGTACTTTTCCATCTTCCACACTGCACACTGTATTTGCTACGTGGGCTGCAAACGTACATCTGTCCGTTCTCCAAGTTCAGTCGTTTGCCTTGTTCTTACCACTGAGCTGTCTCGATGGCCCTGCGCGAGTAGACCACAGAAGCTCACGTTGTCAGAGCCGGCCCGACGCCCTGTGGCGAGCAGGGGCCCTGGAACCCTGGGGCCTCTCCTCCCCAGAATGGGGGGCATGTACACCGTTCTTCCCTTCTGCCGGCTTCCTGGGGGCTCTGCAGCTACTTCCTTCCACCAACCCCGGCCGCCTCCGGCGCCAACTGCTTTCTTCCCCAACTCTTATTAGTTTTTTCAATATTTCTCATCTTTGTTTAGGTAACACCAGCCAATCAAAAGACCTTTTACTTCCTAAAAACAAGAGCGTCAGACCTGCAGCTACCTTTCGCTGCTTGTTGAAGAGCTTGTCCCATCGGTTTGTTGTAGTCTCTTTGAAGGCCGGAGCTACTGCCAGGTTTTGTTCCTCCTTAGTGGTCACGTTTCAGTACTGTGCTTGGTCAGCTAGCTCCTGTTCACTGGATCCCTTTGAGTCCACGGTGTTAAACTGGATTACTCTCCTTTCCCACCAGCCTGTCTTTATACACATGAAGATCTGTTTCCTTGACCATTTTTTGCTTCCCAGCTCTAGACCTCTTGAATATTTAGCTGAAAAAAAGATTACTGAAAAGCGGCTTATAAGTTTTTTAAAAACCAGCAAAGTATTAGTTAAATCTATACAGGAATCAAAATTACACATTAGGTAAATACCTACACACATACATATGTATTATGGGCTGAATTGTGTCCCCCCAAAATCCGTATGTTGCAGCCCTAGCCCCCAGTCCCTCAGAATATGACTGTATTTGGAGACAGGGCCTTTAAAGAGGTGATTAAGTCCAAACGAGCCCACTAGGGTGGGCCCTAATCCAATCTGACTGGTGTCCTTATGAGAGGAAGAAATTTGGATGCAGAGACATGGTGGCATGGTGGGGGGTGGGGGGTGCTGTACACAGAGGAAAGGTCATCTGCAAGTCACAGACCTTAGGAGAAACTAAACCTACCAACACCTTGATCTTGGACATACAGCCCCAGAACTGTGAGAAAAATTCCCATTGTTTAAGCCGCCCAGTCTGCATTTTGTTGTGGCAGCCCTAGCAAACTAATATGATATGCTTCCCTTACATACTAAATATCTAGCTTGATACCCAAGAAACTGACACATGCTGCCTCCACGGACAGGAACTGGGTGGCAAGGGTATAGATATCTGTCTCTTAAGTCTTACGATTTTGAAACGTGACTCATCTATTTAAAAAATGAACAAAAAATTTACTCCGAATACCCACTGTTGAACAAGGTGTGGGAAACTGGCACTTTCAGATATTGCTGCTGGATGTGTCACTAGAGAACAGTTTGAATAAATTGGTAAACATCCGTACAGCTGATAAATGAGGTAGATATACTATAATGGAAGTATGTCCACATATATTACGAGGAAACAGCAAGTCACAAAACAATGGGGACACTTTTGATTAGAAAAAAAAAAAAGCAAATCCCCTAGAGAAAAAAAACAAAGAGTATGTAATATACTCCAATTTGTTATTGGATTCCTCTTTTGTTTTTTTGATGGAGGATTACAGTTTTGGGAGGGGGGACTGATAGTAAGTAATAAAAACAAAAACTGTCTCTAACCTGAAACTATGAAGAGATTTAATTTCCCCAAATTCAAAATGTTAAAATGTTTTTCATATAGCCAAATTGTCTATTCTGTGTTAGATTAGACTTTCAAAAGCTTAGCTTACTGAATGATACTGCTATTCTTTTTCAGTGGCTCCCAATGAGCAGGGCATGACAACCCTGCCCCAGCATGTTCTGGTAACCCACAGTGGGTTGGTTTGCTTCTGTAGGATGGGATAGGCACACATGGCAGAGCATGAACTTTACCCGCGAAAGACTACAATTCGCTTTATCAAAATCTCCTTGAGAGCAAATCACTAAACAGTGTTCAATGACAGAGAAGGCATTACATATGTGACCGAACAAAGATGTCGTTTACCCTCACACAAGTACAATCCTTAGTATTTCCTCCAAGAGTGATAAAGTTGGCTTCTGTTTTGGGGGTGGGGGCACAACAAGTGATTACTAGTGAGAGCAATTCTGACATGGAGAATGAAAATGTGAACACTTAAATAATTTTAAAGAGAATGAAGAAGTAATCAAATAACTGCAATGCAAACGCATTCGGTTTTAATCTTTATTAACATTATTGCTTTAGGGAATCTTTTTTCCCCTCAACCAGGAACTGAATGCTAATTACATAAAAATATACACATATAAAAAGTAGTTCTCCATTTTCCCAGGAAAAACAAACAATAACTTCCAGAATATTCAAGTGTTTTAATTATAATTAAAGTATTGATCATCTCATTTATTAGCTCTGCAAGGTACATATTTAAATTAAATGTTATTAGACAACCATTACAATTTATAAATGTAAGGTGCCACTACTGAGTACATTGATTCTTCCATGAGTGGATGTGTCCCTTCTCCCACCCACTAACAAAGCAGCAATATGGTTAGTTTAATTTTATGAGTAGATGATCCATTGCTGCAAATGCTAATTCTCTGCTCCACCGTGTTTTGTTTTTCTGTGAATGTGTGTAAGTTGGTTAGATCGCATGGGCAACCTCTCTAACGATCAACAGCAAGATGAGCTAGGCTTGGGCTTTCGGTGCAGACTGACCGTGTCTGTCTGAATCAGGTGATCTGACCTATCCTCAGTAGCAAGCACTCTTCGAACTGCTTCCTCAAAGGCCGCTGCGACATTTGTGGCATCTTTTGCACTTGTTTCAAAGTAAGGATAGTCGCCGTTGTCCCTGCACCAGGCTTGGGCTTCTTCTGTAGACACCTGACGTTCACTTATGTCAATCTTGTTGCCCAAAATCACGAAAGGAAAACTTTCGGGCTCTTTCACATCTGCGTAATATATGAATTCTTTCTTCCAGTTACTCAAGTTCTGGAAGCTCTGAGAATCGTCGACACTAAAAGTGAGCAGGCAACAGTCAGAACCTCTGTAAAATGGTGTCCTCAGGCTTCTGAATCGCTCTTGACCGGCCGTGTCCCAAATCTGCATGGTAACAAAATGTCCATCCACCTCCAAATCTTTATTTAAAAATTCCACACCTATTGTATGGAAGAGCTGGGTATCAAACTTATTGGTCACATATCTGTTCATCAGAGAGCTCTTCCCAACTCCACCATCTCCAAGGAGAATTACTTTAAAAAGTGAAGATTTTCCTGCCATTATTAATCTCACGATTTTGACTTTAGAACCCTGTAAAATAAAGAGGTACCATTACATTGCTTTAGACCTGTACATTTCTCTACATGATTCTATGAATATCAGTGCGTAAGGGAAATAAAGCGCAGAGTCCCCAGTCTTTTCTGTACAGAAAATGCCTAATGCAAGAGCTGTCACACGCTGAGCGCTCAACCACACAGCAGACACAACCCTACTGATACTCCCTGACACAGCCAGTCAGGGCTCACTCTTCCCCCAAGCTGACTGAGGCAGGCACTCAAAGCCAAGTCTCACCCCAAACACCTTGCTCTCAACCATCCCTCTCTATGCACAATAAGCCCTGCCCCATTTCTTAGACATGCAGTAGGAGACCAACGTAGGCAGGTGTTTGTAACAACTTCAAACAGCCCTTTGGTGGCACAGTGACAGTTTTACTGATGGCTTTCGTCTTGTGCCAAGGGTTTTCTCAATGACCTCCCCTTTTTCTCTTCCAACGCTATCACCATAGGAGCTGGTAACCAGGAAACCAGAGACAGAAGCTGACTGATTTGGCTGTGAACAAAAATAAGCAATGCCTGAGTAAATGGACTCCATTCTCTTCATTAGGAACATGATTTGGACTTGGCTAAAATTAATGTCAGCAGCAATGGAATTTTTTAACAAAATATCATAATCTAGCACATTCTGCCCACAAGACTCATTTGGGCAGTTCTAACTCTTAATAAATATGAACCTGGGCTGTCACGTCTGTGTTTTCAGAGGGAATGACACAAATCTTAAAAATGTGGTACTCTAGGGTTGCCTGGGTGGCTCAGTTGGTTAAGCATCTGCCTTCAGCTCAGGTCATGATCCCAGGGTCCTGGGATGGAGCCCCGCATCGGGCTCCCCACTCAGTTTCTCCCTCTCCTTCTGCCACTACCCCCTGCTCGTGCTCTCTGTCAAATAAATAGATAAAACCTTAAAAAAAAAAAAAAATGCAGTACTCTATGTACCCTTTTGGGGAAGCCCCGGGGCAGGATTACACATTTCCCTACACCACAGGCACCAGCCTGTGTGGGGTAGAATTTCAGATGCCCATTTACAAATGGCTACTTTTTTTTTTTTTTTTTAAGATTTTATTTATTTACCAGAGAGAGAGAGAGTGCAAGAGTACAAGCAGGGGGGCGGCAGGCAGAGGGAGAAGCAGGCTCCTCGCTGAGCAGGGAGCCTGATGCGGGACTCGACCCAGGACCCTGGGCTCAGGGTCCCTAGATGGCTACTTTTAAGTGCCAACAGGAGCACTGTTCCTATTTAAGGCTTCTGTTTTTATTCTTTATTATGGAAAATTTCAAACATACACAAAATTTCTGAATAATGAGAATAATATAATGAAACCCCCATGGATCCCCAACCTAGCTTCACCAATTACCAACTTATGACAAATCCTGTTTCTTCTGTAACTCCCAATTCTCCCCAGTTATTTTGAATCAAATTGTATCATTTAATCTGTAAATACTTCACTATTACATGGCTTTTAAGTACATTAAAATTTATAAAAGGAGACAATCTTTGGAATAGCACTAACAAAATTTTCTGTAATGATGGAAATGTCCTCCATCTGCACTGTCCAATATGGCAGCCACTTGCCACATGACTACTGAGCATCTGACATGTGGCTGGAGGGAATGAGGAACCGAATTTTAAATTTTATTTAATCATAACTAATTTGAATGGCCACATTTAGAGGCAATAGCTATAGTGGCCAGCACAGTTCTAGAGCAAAAATGGTTATTAACTTTAACATGAAACTGGATATATTGTGAATCCATCAATGGGAAAGTAATGAAGACATGAACCATAATTATTAATTGACTAGGATGGATTTGGAAATTCACTGCAGTAAACATTATCTGGCTCTCTCCTGGTTATATGCAAATGTGACCCAGTATAATGGAATTAAATACTTCCTGTCATGTGTAAGAATTCTGCATTTCCAACTACATGATACACTATTCTGGTAAAACCTGTAGAACTTGTCTATAACTCTTATTGGCTCTTTTAAGTTACTACTACAATAATTACTACTATAACTGATACAATTTAAAGTGGCCAACAAAACTGTGAGGCAATCAAAGTACTTACCTCTTGGAGACTTTTTTGACTTCAGTGGATTGCTCTGCTCAATGCCCAAACTAAATTCATGTCAGAGAGGAAATCGAAACAATCCCAAACCCCTTAATCTCCTGACAGAGGTAACAACTTGGTAAATCTGTTCCTTTGTTTAACTTTGCAATCTTGCTTAAACAATTTCAATTAAGTGAAAAAAAGAATAACAAAACCAACATTGCATACCAGCTATTATGAGATGAGGAAAAAGCACTGGTCTAAGGCCCTATCCTTAACACTCTTCAGTGGTTCTCCAGATTTTCAGATCTAAGTCCAACTTCTAAGACAAGACACCTAGCCCTGCTCCCCATTTCCGGCTTCAGTCATTGACAAATGCACAGTCAGATGGAACTGAAATTCAATTCCACTTCCTCAGCTCCCTTGCTCTCCCTTGCCTTGGCCCTGGCACATGCTGCTTCCTCTGCTGGTGATCCTACCCCACTTCACCTAACTAACGGCTGAGCCCTCGGAACCACTCAGCATGGTCATCACCAACACCAGGAACCTTCCCCAGCAGCCCCCATTCCAAGACTGTTCCTTTCACAAGATTTTCAAGATACATGAACACAAAAGTTCCATTTTGTGTTCTAAGGATGTAAGAGATGTGTGTGATTCTAGTATATCATTTGTCCCAGTATTTGAGTAAGTCTCTAATTACCTTACCAGACACAAAGTTTTATTGCACAGCACTGAATTGTTAGGATCTTCACATCAAATTATAAACCAGATGATGCAATCTAATAACCTCTCCCCAGGTGACTGGTTGCATATATCTACCAAATTTAATCTTAGACATTCCTTGAGATTTGTCATTTATAATTTTATCAGGACACTTTGACACAGTCCTTTTCTTTTTTCATAATAATGTAGGATTTCCTAGTTGGTGCCATTATTCTGATTAAACAAATCTGGGGTATGCTAGACCCATACACCAGGAAGTGGGGTATGATTTTTTACAATTCCCATCTATAATTTGGGGCCTTGCAGATACCCTCTTTGCAAGGATGCTGGCATTTGCTAAAACAATATATATACAAACATTTCTTTGATTCTTACTGTAGAGTCGTATATAAACATACATGGCGATACAGATAACGATATAAACCATCTTATTTCCCACTGAATCCAACAAAAGCTAGCTTCAGGCAATCTATACATTAACATAACCATAACTGGCTTGGAGACATTAAAAATACTCCCTTTTTCTTTTCTAAAAATAGTAAAACCCTTTGAAACTTCAGCATAAGATGAATGAATAAAGGTATCCTGTTATGTTATTTTCAGAACTTACCTTAAAATATAATGTGAAGTCTTTTTTACTACACAGTTCGGAATGATTGCCCACAAGCAACCTCAACAAGGTTAAAACACGACTTTAACAATTCAGCTAAATCTGATAAACAATCCTGAATAAGAAAAGCATATTACATAGGTCATAAATGTTACCTTAATTGTTCAGCTCAAGCAGCATCATTATCTGCAAAGAAAAAATTAGAAAGCTCATCTTAGCAATGTACGTTTAATTTGTTTTCATAGTTTTAAGAGTAAAAACAAAAATTAAAATGTGAATAAATATGACTTCCATGAGCATCTGGATTCTTAATTTAAAAGGAAAACCAGAAAAAATAAATAAAAATAAAAATAAAAGGAAAACCATACCTGAAAGCTGTCCATGACCTTTCTCAGTCCAAAAAAAACCCTAGAATCAAATACTACACTTTTTTTAAAAAATATTTTTATTTGTCAGAAAGAGAGAGAGAGCGCGCGCGCACATGCAAGCGCACAAGCAGGGGAAGTGGCAGGCAGAGGGCGAAGCAGGCTTCCCGCGGAGCAGGGAGCCCGATGCGGGACTCGATCCCAGGACCCCGGGATCATGACCTGAGCCAAAGGCAGACGCTTAACAACTGAGCCAGCCAGGCGCCCCCAAATACTACACTTCAATCACTGCTTTTTCAAGAAGGTTTTTGCCTGCCCACCCTTCTTTTCTAAGTTTCACACTCAAACAACTGCAAGATATTTTTAGGATAAAAATGTAAACTATGGGGGCGCCTGGGTGGCTCAGTCGGTTAAGCGTCTGCCTTCGGCTCAGGTCATGATCTCAGGTCCTGGGATTGAGCCCTGCGTTGGGTTCCCTGCTCAGCAGGGAGCCTGCTCCCCCTGCTTGCGCTCTCTTGCCCTCTCTCGCTCTCAATAAAATTTTTTTAAAAACGTAAAATATGTCATTCTTCAAAATTTGCCCAAATTTTGAGTGGCTGAGAATAATCCTATTCCGAAAAATTAAATAAAGCTAACACAAACAAGAAAAAAGAAGAGTCACAAGAGAGGGAGGGGCACCAACGCAACAAAGGAAAAGCTGGGCTAAAGCTAAGGCAGCGCTGTGTCAGGAAGCTTCTGGGCAGCCAAGGCAGAGGTGAAAACTTTGTGACAGAATAGTAGCCCATTATCAGAAAGGAGAAGGGTTCTTGGTGCCAAAGGCCAAGAGCACACACTCCTGGACAAGCTACCTGACATCCTACCTCCTAGGGCCATTGGGAAGATTCACTTGGTCATGGACAATAGGTAAAAGCGTTTCACCACAGTGCCAGGCTCATTATAGGAGTGCAAGAAGTTTCTGTGGAATGAACACATGAAGAAGTCTTTACTGGCAGTTTTAAGGAAAGGTTTCTTTCATGACCATTTCTTAAGTCAAATTTCAGTAAGAGTCCTGGGCAGAACAGAGAAGAGGATTATGCAGGCAGACATGAGGAAGCCAAAGGATCCTAACCCTAGAGATCAAATTCCATGTGAAGGTTTCTGAGTGACAGATTATGGGGGAAGCTGGGCTAAAGCACTAGCGCTCTCTTAGTCTAAACCAAAGGTTTTATCCCCGACACACACCTTCTTTAAGCAAAGGGCATTTTTGTGAAACTTACATACGGCAGCCCTTAACTTATAAATTCAATCAACGAATAAATGAAGACTCTTCAAAATTTTGACATTTGGGGTTAAAGATGAAATAGCAACAGTAACAACAGCTGTAACAGCGAACACTGACTAAGTCCTATAAGCCCTTTCCTCTGCTTCACTGCATCCACTCCTCTCAAGTGTCTCCCTATCCCTCCACTACAGATGAGGACCCTGACTCAGAGAGGTCTACTACCTTGCTTGAGGTCATACAGCTAGGAAAACATGGAGAGAGGGAGATCTCAAGGCAGCTGACTGTTCCAAGGCCTGCCACTTAACCTATTAGGCTCAGCTGCCTTTGCATTTATTTCTGAGGGTTTTCCTGTTGACTGCTGAATGAACATAAGCAGCTGTGATGCTAAGAGCCTTTCAACTGCTGGCTTTATTTCAAGAACTGCACAAGAACAAGGTAACCTGACAGAACTAATAGTGTTCAATCCACTGACATGTACTATAAATAAAGCACATCTAGGGGCGCCTGGGTGGCTCAGTCGTTAAGCATCTGCCTTCGGCTCAGGTCATAATCCCAGGGTCCTGGGATTGAGCCCCGCATTGGGCTCCCTGCTCAGCGGGGAGCCTGCTTCTCTCCCTCTCCTGCTTCCCCTGCTTGTGTTCCCTCTCTCACTGTCTCTAATAAATAAATAAAATCTTAAAAAAAAAAAAATAAAGCACATCTAACTGTGCGTAAGTTTTTTTTTTTTAAGATTTATTTGAGACCGGGGCGGGGGAGGGGGGAAGCAGACTCCCTGCAGAGTGCTGAGCCCAACGCAGGGCTTGATCCCAGGACCCTGGGATCACAGCCTGAACCGAAGGCAGTCACTTAACCAACTGAGCCACCCAGGCGCCCCAAGTGCCGAAGTTTTAATAGAATTTCAACAGTTTAAACATTCTTTTTTAAGATTTTATTTATTTTACAGGGAGAGAAAGAGAGAGGGAGGGAGCGCACGCAAAAGGGAGGAGGAGCAGAGGGAGAGGGATGAGCAGACTCCATGCTGAGCATGGAGCCTGACATGGGGCTCAATCTGACAACCCTGAGATCATGACCTGAACTGAAATCAAGAGTTAGACGCTTAACCGACTGAGCCACCCAGGTGCCCCTAAACATGTTTTAAATGAACTGTCAATCAAATGTTGGCAGAACTCTGAAGCATCTCCCCAGAAGCCTAGTGTTCCATGGAGTAGGTGGCAAAGCAGTTTTTAAACAAGTACTTAGTGAAGTCTCCTGTGTGCCAGACACTGTGGATGCAGTCACACCCACCCAGTCCCTGCCACGTGCAGCTTGTAGTTGGGTTAAGTGACAATCTGCACACAAACCCATGTGTGTTAGAACTATGGCAAGACCTACAAATGAGGCACTTGATAGAGAGTGCAAGTATTCATGCTGAACCAGAAACCAAACAACTTAAATAGTGCAGGGGATTCTGCCCAGCATCTCCCTCGGTGAGTGACAGATGCAGTGTGTAAACCTGCAGCTCTCTCAGTCAGACCCAGGCCTCACATGTGAGTATTTCATGGAGCCACCTGTGATTCCAGACCTCAGGGGGACTTAATTTTCATACACTACGACCCTGTAACTCAGCCAGCTACTTCACCTGCTGCTCAGTTAAAAAGGTGGTAACTTCCAAGGCCAGAGGGAAACTGGGCTGTGTTCAAGTGTGTTAGTGAGAGATTACACACCAGTTTCCAGTGCGGGCTCTTCCAAAGCAATGTCTCAATGATCATTTTAGCTGCATGCTGTCCATAGAGAGCAGCCTCATCAAGGTCTGATTCCACTGTAGGGGGATTTGACCCAGGGTAAGTGGGTCTGATCACAGGCTAAGGCCAGTAGCAGGAAGCTGAGCAATAGGGGGAGAAAACCCCAAGAAAAGCAGAGGGAGCCGGAGCGAGGAAGTGGCGAAGGAAGAGGCCAAGGCAGAGGAAGAGCCCAAGATAGGCCTGAGCACCTGGAGCCCAGAGAGGGAGGAGAGTGCTATACACAGGGGACTGGAGGGAGCGGCTCTGAAACAGGCAGGGCCTGAGACACGTGGGAAGGATTTCCATCTACACCCCTGAAATGATGAGAGCACTGAAAGAGCTTCAGCAGCAGGCAACCTGATCAGATGTGGAATCCAGAAAGTTAACTGGCTGAGGTGAGGGCAAGAGGAGGGCCTCAGGTAGAGCTTCAACGGATGCCCTTATGATCCCTTTCAACTACCAATGGCATCAGCTGGCTTTGGGATTGAAAATGGTGGCTTTTCTGCCTTGTAGGTGGATCCTGCAGTAAGATGTTCACTCTGTGGCTTTATACTTCACCTCCCTTTCATCTTTTCCTCTTGCCACCCCTTGCTAACTCCTGCTCACCCCTGTAGATGCAGCTAGACCTCATCTCCCACTGAAGTCTCTTCCCCCACGTTCCTAATGCACCCTGAACATGCCTCTAAGTGCAGAGGTAATAATAATGAAATTGGCATACCTACTATGTCTAATAAAAATGAAACATGCTTGGGGCACCTGGCTGGCTCAGTTGGTAGAGGATGCAACAACTCTTGATCTCGGGGTTGGTTCAAGCCCCATGTTGGATGTGGAGATTACTTAGAAAAAAAAATAAAATGTTTAAAAAAAAAAACTCTCTAAGAAGATTCAGTTTCATGGAAACACATTATACCATTAAAAAATGCCCATACTGGGCGCCTGGGTGGCTCAGTTGGTTGAGCGACTGCCTTCGGCTCAGGTCATGATCCTGGAGTCCCGGGATCAAGTCCCGCGTCGGGCTCCCT